TGTCATCAAGCTAGGAGATAAGCACCAGGTTTATTTAATTTCTCTAGATCTATTTTGAGTAAATAAATAGGTGAGTTAATGCTTGCTGGGGACAGAATAAAGATATTCACGATGTTCTCCAGGAGGGATGTTGTAGAATTTAATAATATCATTTGTTTTGTAAGAAACTTCTGTAGATTGGAAAAAGGACACGTGGAGATGTAACTATTTTACGGACCCTTGTCATAAATAGTAATCAATATTGAGGTGTGTGAGTTATTTATTTGTGATTCGCATCAAGCATGCTAAATATAATTGTCACCAATGTGGTTCTTGTTTTGTGGGTACATTGTTAAAAGGTTCCGTTTTGAAGGCTATATGTGTTGATTTTTGAGAAAAATACCATAAGCTTGTTGCTGAAACTTTTTGGGTGCTGATGTAGAGATTGAACAAGTGCTTGAACAATAATGGTACAAATACAGTTGCAGAGCACATTTTTCTCAGTGATATGCAATTCTTGAAAATTTTAAATTGAAAATCAAATGGAACAGAGGAAATGGCCGTGGACAAAGAAATCGTCTGAAAGGAGTCCCGGGGAGAGCGAAAGCTCGGCATCATTTTCTTCGCACTCGGAGAGATATTTTGATGAACAGGTTCGGTTATGTTGAACCTCACTTGCTTTTAAGTTATCATTTCTCGGTCTAAATTATTTTTGTTGATTTTACGTTCGTTTTCCCTGTTCGTCCGGTTGGTTTACCATGCAAATAATTCAAGTTAGTTTTTTTGTACTTAAAGTTATCTGGTTTCATTAGGTGAATAGATGAATTTGGCATCCACAAATGCTCGAGTTTATTCGATTATTGAAGCACTAGATGATTTCTTCCTTGTTTATACTGGCTTCATAATTTAACAAAGTATAAATGTTTATATTATTCAAGATTTTCTACATTTTCTTCTCCATCTAATTTTGTAGATCTCTTGTAGTCTGAGGGTAATGGCAAAAAGTCCATCTTAGGGATGGTTTTCTATTAATTTGCAGTTAATGTCTTATGTGACTTTTTCTTTCCCTTTTTTTTCCCCTTTTTGTTCAGGAAGTATTGAGAGAAGAACAACCTCCGAATGATAATAATCCGCACTCTCCAGAAGTGACCTCAAAAGCTCCATCAATGGATGATGAAGAAGTGAACGAAACTGTCAAGAGCCTAACACAAAAGCTATCGGCAGCTGTTGTAAACATTAGCACAAAAGAAGGCTATGGCAGATGAACATATGGAAGGACAACAATGCGGCATGGCCAACACAGTTATCAATTGTGCCTCTGTTTCTGATGCCGGGTTCCCTACTAATTTTGATGCTGACCTTTTTCTTTACATGCAGGTAATTCTTATATTTCTATACTTCTCTGCAGTGGATTTTTAAAGTTTTTCTGTATACATCTGTTTGCGTGCTTTTGGCCTTTCGGGCATTTTTTCTTCTTTCTGGTTAAAAATAATTTAAATATACTCACATGTTGGTTTTGCTTTTAGTATTTTATTAGGAAGGTTAATGGAATATGTTCTTCTACAAAGCTCAAGAGAAGCATAAAGATGCCCAATACTTCAAGTGGGTGAGGTGTAAAATGGATGAGGGAAAGAATAAGGGAAATTAGTTCATCGTGGAAGAATATTAGCATTTTTATTCATATGTTTGATTTGGTTTTCATATGTGCTTACTTTTTTGACAGCATTTACCTTC